TTGCAATTAAGGAAGCATGAAAATGCTTTGAAAATTTAAATAAGGTGCTTTTTAAAATTTGAAAAAGAGAGATAGATAGATAGATAGATAGATAGACAGACAGACAGACAGATAGATAGATAAATAGATAGATAAATAGATAGAGAGAGAGAGAGAAAAAAAAGAGATAGAGAGGAAATAAAATTTTCAAAGTTTGAATAGCAATAAACACGCATTATGCATATTTACAAATTTTAAATGAACGTAAATAGAATTATAAACATTTCTAAAAAAATTGAAATATGGGCACATAATAACTACAGTTACTCACTCAACCACATACATACATCCATCATATAAACATACATTACCATAAAATTTTAAAACATACCATTGGGGAAAAAATAAACCAGACAAAACACATAAATTCATATAAAATCATAAACACACCACCACACATAAAACACTAAAACATACATTCATCCATCCATCCATACATACATACATACATACATCCATCCACACATACATCCATCCATACATACATACATACATACATCCATAAATACATACGTGCATACATGCTTACTTAACATACGCACATAGATACGTATATACATACGCGCGTATATACGTTGAAACCAAGTGTGTGCAGTGTACACTTGGACTTGTAGCAGCAGTTTTATTGATCTGCCTTTAAATGCTGCATAATGGTCTTATAATAGACCATAAAATGTTTCCAACGAGCAGAATTAAAATAACGCTGAGATATCATTATTTATTTAGTTGGCTATAGCAGCAAACACTATTTAAACGCAGTTTCTCACTAATCGCTCTAATTTAATTTATAGAATATAAAAAAATTCGAGGACAAATATGAACAATCAACAGTAGAAGATATGAAGGGGCATGGTGCTGTTTAAAACCCGAATAAAAAGTAATGTCATTTTCTGGCTGCCTGTATTGACAGTAGAGGCGTATATCACCTCCTCTTAAGATGAAATTAATGTGTAACCATTTAGACGTTACATGAATGTATGTATGTGCGTGCGTATATGCGCCTATACGTGTATGTGTGTGTATGTGTGTGTGTGTGTGTGTATGTATGTAAGTATGTACGAATGTATGTATGTTTTGTATGCGAATGTATGCTGGCTGGTAGTCTGTGTGTATTCACCGCAAGTAGAGTAGACAAACATACATATACATACATACATACATACATACAAACATATATAAAAACACATTCAAACTGCTATTGCCACAAAGAACGCAATGCTTGAACCTCACATTCATCGAGATCATTATCAGAATCATAGTCTACATCATAACAATGGATGTTCATTCAAACTTTATGCATCTTCTATATCTAAATCTTCCCTAATCTCTCTGCTTGCTTCTTTCTTTTCTCTCTCCCTCTCTCTTCTCTCTCGCCCTCCTCTCTCTCTCTCTCTCTCTCTCTCTCTCACATTTTCATTGCCTGTTTTTTGTCTACATTATAAATCACAAACAAATAAATGGCACAGATGTGCATTTTCCAAGCATGCATGCACGTTTTATAGAAAAAAAAATTTATAATATCATTAATCATCAACCTCTTGAATAGATAAATACATTGTATGTCGCATGGTGTACAGTACACATGCGTGTATCTCTATACATGCGTATACAAAAACTTGAGAATGTGTAAAACTCAGTTGAACTTGAAAGAGTGTGCAATAGCAATTAAGACAATGATGACAAGTTGATTTCAAAATGACAAACAACTTCAATCAAGCCTCATAAATTCACCAGATCTAAAAAAGAAGAAAAGAAAGAAAGAAAGAAAGAAAGAAAAAAAGAAAGAAGGAAAGAACAGAAATGAGTGGAGAATATTGATTGATCTTGTTGGAGAGCAATGTAAGAGATTTGAGTGAGTGATAAATTTCTGTAATCTGATTGGTTGGCTACTGAAAGATTTGATTGATTAGTTGATTGATTGATTGATTATTATTTATATTACATCACTTCATTCAGCCATCTCAGCTTGCATGTAATCTGATATTTAAGTATATGTACACACGCACGCACACACGCACACACACATACATACACACGAACGTGTAAACATACACTATGCTGTTCTTATATAAACATTCATACCAGCTGTTATTTGTTAAAGAACGTGTTTACTATTATTTTTGAGAAGTTTTTTTTGGCTGAGTGGTGATTTAAAACAGGAGAATCCAAAAAGGCACATGCACATATGCCATGGAAAACAATCTCTATCCTAATCATCTCACAATCACCATTATCATCATTCTATCACCATCATCTTCTATTAAATCATCTTCAAACTATAAAGCATAGCTATAAAATCACCTCCACACATTTCAAATCATTGAATAGAAATTAAATGAAAATTAACTACTCAAGTTAATAAAGTATAACAGAAACAAACCAAAAATAAATAAAAAACAAAGACAATCACAGTCAAATAGAAGAAACAAAGACAAATAAACCAGCAACAAGACATCAAATCAAATCAAAACTACCTCAAACCATCAAAACCCTTAACGCAACCATTAAATGAAACTAACCAGATGTGAGTGTACGACGGAGGAGGAAGAAGAGGAAGAAGAGGATGATGATGAAGATGACGAGGGTACAGTAGCATCAAATTCATTCTGATTGGCGGGTGACACTGGAATATTATTGGACCACATTCCGGTACTGCTACCACTACCACTACTTGCTTGTGGATAGGCATCCTGATAAATATGATCATAAATAATAATAGTAATTAATTATTATTATTATTAAATTATATATTAATCATGACAATCACGGTTACTTAGCGCCAATTAATTAATTAATTAATTACGGAGAAGGATTTATTAATATGCCTGTGAAAGAAATTGTTTAGCACCATCTTGTTTTCAAACATTTTCTATAGATTTACGAGCAATCATTAAAAAATATTTTTTTTAATGAGAGAGATAGAGCGAGAGAGAGAGAGAGAGAGAGAGAGAGTGAGTGAGAAGAGAAAGGGAAACATGATGATGACAAAATAACCAGAATGACGGCGACTATGATGACGTGATGATGGCGACGACAAGACTTTTGGAAAGAAAAATTTAATTGCATGCAAGATTATAATTTCCTGGAGTTTACCTCAAAAAAAAGAGAAGAAGATGGAAGAAAAGAGTCAATTGAAATAACAATAATGAAAAAGTGAAAAAATGTCTTAAGAGAATTTAAGTAGAGAAATGAAAAAGTAAGTAACTCTAATAGAAATATGTCAATAGATCATTAAAATAGATCCATTCACCAAGTATATATATGCTGAACAAAAGAGGAGCAGAGAAGCACGAACAACACATACTTGCACACACACATAGAAACACTCAGAAATACTTGTACATGCACATACACAATTCACCTACGCACGCACGCATGTATACAAGGCGCACACGGAGGAACGAAAATGCCTTTCATGCAAATGCATACATAAACACGCATGATAAAATCACAACTTATCAAAAACATCAATGTAGAATATTAATAACCATAGAAAAACTCAGATCTCAGACACTCACACACACATAAACAGATACACAAACGTACACACACACACACACACACACATACGTACGTAGGTGTACATACACACAAGCAAATATGTGCAATGGAATGTTTATCAGTAAGAAGAGCAATGCTAGTTTCTCTATGGTGCTGTATGGCATGATATTAAAAGGGAGAAACAAAGCCCATGAATCATTTCATTATGAAAGGTTCTCATAACAACAACAACAACGACGACGACGACGAGACAACAACAACAACAACAACAACAAGAGTAAGAATAATAGCACCTACTCATCAGACATGAATAATAATCGCAGAAATAAAACAAGCCAAACAGCATCAAAAACAAATCACAAACAATGAAATTAGTGACAGCAGAGTGCCAGCCACATTTGTATGAATTAAACTTATAGAATGAATAAACATTATTCCTCCATATATAGGTAAACAGACAAACAAAAAACATTGTGATTAATGAAGAAGAGACATTTATAATTTCATTTCTGGATGCATTGTAATGTTTTTTTTAATCAAATAAATCAGTCAATCAGTTAGTCAACAAACAATGATTTCAGTTCAGTTCAATTAGTCATTTATTACTGAATGCACTTAAATTTTTCGATGTAGACTCATTAACAGCTATAAAAATGACCGTGCAAGTGCTTAGAAAATTTACAATTTGAAGTAATTAACCAATAAATATAACGAAATAATCAATCAGCTTATCAACTATTCAACCATTCAACCAACCAGCCAATCAACCAACCAACCGGCCAACCAACCGATTTATTGAATTCATTCCTAGAAGGAACTCTACTCATTCTACTCCCTCCATAATTATTACCGTTATTAGTAGTACTACTACCATTACTATTATTATTATTATTACTATTATTATTATTGTTGTTATTGTTGTTAGTACTAGAACTGTTGTTATTAAAATAAGCATGCTGTTTAGAATCCTGAACATTGTTGCTGTTCTCGGGCAGATTATGTTGAGAACTAGCTGATGATATCGTAACATTATCATTGATACTGCTGCTGCTGCTGTTGTTGTTGTTGATGATGGTGTTGCTGTTGTTGTTGTTGGAGCCTTGATTGGAAGTCGCTACTAGAATTAGGAATTAATTGAAAAATAAATTGAAAACCTACCAAGAGATTTTATTAATAATAATTATTATTATTATAGAATATAAAACGAAATCATACTCATAGACACGTGTTAAGCTTAGTAAATAAACCGACAATAACGAATCAGTAACCTACATATAGTATCGATTGACATGACCTATAAAATTTTCTCATCGGTCTTAATGATGAAAGAAGAAGACACGAATTGAACAATTGAGAAAGCATTAAACAAAATATTAATTAACAATGAGTAAATCATTCGACTCATAAAATATCCATAACCAGCATTACAAATTTCAGCAGCAACAACAAAACGAACAACATCAACCAACGATTAAAAACAACACTACAAACAAACACAGACAAACAGACAGACCAGACGATCTGTATCCACCTGCATCTCCATCAACATTTTTTCTAAGATGTTGAAATGGTGGATAATTATAGAACCCGGCACTTTTCCCACCACCATGGCTACCCTCTACAATTGCGCCACCACCGCTACCACTACCACCACCACCACCGCTTCTACTCTCAGCGAGGAATGATGGCAGACCAGATTTTGCTGATTCAAAATTATGACCGACTGTCGATTTGATTCCGTCGTAGTTGATCAAATTCTTCATGTCTGGAAAAGATACAATTGGTTGAGACTTGAGGAGGGAGCTAGGGGCCTCCACAACCGAGCCCCCTGACATCATGCCCTGCATGTTTGTCACCCACTGGTTGTTGGGACGTGAAGACGAGGATGAGGATGGCAACGTTGAATTTGAGTGTGAGTGAGGAAATGGTGATTTTTTGTTTCTTGGAAAATCGTTCTTGTCGTGTATGCTACTGCCAGAGAATGAATATCTGCTGTTGTTGCTGTTGTGTGGCGGCATTCGGTGGTCGTTATCGACGCTGCTGTCGGATGTGTTGTTGTTGTTGTTGTTGCTGGTGGTGGTCAAGTTGTTGTTGTTGCTGGGGGTCAAGTTGTTGTAGTTGCTGTTTGTTGCAGTGGAATGTTGGGACGAGCTGCTGTTAGAGTTGTCACCGCGCTCCATAATCTCCTCCTTGTCAACATTCATTTTGTTATTTACATTTTGCTCGGCAGTTGAGTTGCTGCTGCTGCTGCTGTTCTTAGCAGCGATGCCTGGCGACATCAGTGGGTTATCGGGTTTGAAATTTTTGCCGCTAATTGAGTTATTAGCCTCTTGGGATCTGTACATAGCTGACATGTCATTCTTTCCATACGGGCCATATGGGTGGGGGGGCCTCATGAAGCCCTGCTGGTGCGGATGGTTATACCCTGATTCAGAACGGTAGTTAGGTGGAGGAAATGATGAGGACGATGACAACGGCGAGGAGAGGGATGAGGACGGCGAGGGGGATAAAAGTGGTGGTGACTCAAATCTACCGACAGCAGAATGATGATGAGGATGATGATGTTGCTGATGAAGATGTTGCGAGAGATGATGTTGATGATGATGCGGATTCGTCATAAATTCAGGCCTGAAAGGCTGACGGTAATTTGGCGATGGTGGAATAGATGATGGCTGGTAATAAGGTGATGATGGTTGAGGAGGAAAATACGGTGATGACGACGACGAAGATGAATTTATCATATGAGGAGGAAGTCCATCAGATGAAGGGCCAGGGTAAGGCATTGGGGGCCCAACTATGCCCATTGGAGGATAGGGATGAGGTGGATAAGACTTCATCTGATGTTGATAATGTTGTTGATGGTGTTGTTGTTGTTGTTGTTGCTGCTGTTGATGATGTTGTTGCTGCGCGAGGTACTGCTGATGTTTGTGAGCTTGAAAATGAGATGGCTGATGATGATGTTGTTGTTGTTGAAGTTGTTGCTGCTGATGTTGCTGATGGTGACTAACGTTTTCCCTAACCATATTATGCTGCTTGCTGTTGTAATCAATACTGTCACCGCCATCATCGTTGTTACTGTTGCCAGGCAGAAATCTACTGATGTTGTTTTTAACGTTGTTGTTGTTGCTAGAGGATATCCTAGTGTTGATACTATCATTAGATATATCAGTTTCAACTTCATTTATAGCAGTTAATTTAGGCATAGAGTTCTCATCACTATCTGTAAGATTACCACCTGAAAAACTTTTACTTTCACAACCATCATTGGAGGCATTAAAACTACTGCTGTTAAAACTATTAACATTATTTACGCCGGCATTGTTCTCAACAGCCAAAGTAGTTTCTGGTGAGGTAAGTGTTGTTGTTGCGCAGACAGATAATGCAACCCTATTATCGTCGTTCATGTCGTTGTTATTTTTGGAGTTGTTTTCAATGGATTCATTAACTGTTTGTTGTTTCGTATGACCAAATGATAATTTATCATCAACACCAGGAGAAGGTACGTGGATGATTTTGCTATCAGCCTGGCCACAACTGTTTTGAGTGTCTGCATCGTTGTTGTTGTTGTCATTATAAATGTTATTTCTATTAATATTGTTGATAACGTTAAGATGCATGCTATAATGGGATGAGCGATGTTCAGACAACGAGTTATGACTTAGAAGCATTGTGGCGTTACAAACTATCATAGCAACAATAAAGATGAAGACAAAAAGAAACCATAGATTTTTTAAAAATTTGAAAAAAAAAACAACAAAACAATAGGACTGAATCTGAACGTAAAAGATAAACCAGCCACAACCTTTCTCTCGTCCATCAACAGCAGCAGCAGCAGCAGCAGCAGCAGTGAGCGTGAGATTCCCAGCATCATCTTCATCATTTCCGTCATCATTTCTGGTGGCGAACGGTGATGACGGCGATGGGCTGCCGTCCTGCGAGTAAACCTCTGTGCTGCTGCTGCAGTTTGAACGATAATCATCATCGTCATTGCACGTACCATCGTTCTCTGCATTTTCACCTCCTTCACCATCGGGCCTCTTATGCGATTTCTAGAATTCGTTAAAAATAGATTATATAAAATTTTATTGTGACTGGTGAAACATTTATAGAAAAAAAATTGTTCTTTTATTCATATAATACGCTGTTAAAATCAAAAGTATTTAACAGTGGCTGTTATTTTTTATTTATTACCATAAAGATTATCAACATCATCCCTTTAATCGTGGCTATTGTTAGATTAATTGACAGTCATTTGAAGTGGTTATTTAGCCAACTATCATCACAACTCTTCACTAACATCATCATCATCATTATCAAATGCATCATCATCTTCATCACCATCAGGCTGGCATACACATCATCAAAATATTTGATAACTCCTCAAATAACTGGTACATGAAGGAGAATAAACTGAGATATGAAATAGATGAATATCAAGAACATTTATTATCTCCCTTCCCCCCCCCCCCTCTCTCTCTCTCTCCTCTTCTTCTAATTAATAGACATAATTGAATAAATAAACCATTAACTGTTATATGAATATCTTAAAAAAAAAAAAAGTAGAGCAGAAACAAAAAGAATGAATTAAAATTTATTTTGAAGAGATCATTCTGGCAGCAGAGGGTTTGATCCTCTTAAATGGTAAAACAATGAGATAAATCCATAGTAACGCGCGTGTGTGTGTGTGTTGTGTGAATGTGTGCTTACAATACATGTCCACATGAGAATAGAACGTTGTCGAGCGTCGAGCGTTGGCTTGAGTAATAAAAAACACATTAACCCCCAACAGGCAGGTAACCACTACGGCGTAAGATAATTATTTTGCATTGAAATGCAAAATATTTTCAACAGGTATTACCATCTAGGACGCGTACAAAAGAAGCATTGGCACGATGGCTGCAATCTTAGAAATGAAATCCACATAGAGAAAAAGAAACACAGAACAAGTCAAAAAATAACTTGAATGAAAATAACAACAACAAACAACAACTAACCACAACAACAAACAACAACTAACCACAACAACAAACAACAACCAACAACAACAACTAACCACAACAACTAACCACAACAACAAACAACAACTAACCACAACAACAAACAACAACAACAGCAAAAACGACATTAGTACAGTCTAAAAAAGTACAAAAAATGGACAACAGCAGCCAGAAGAGAAACACAGAACAGTGGGAAACTTTTCCTAGGAGAAGCTGCAGAAAATGAGATATTTGAAATGTTTCTGGCTTTAAACGCTACTCTGCATCATCCATCTCAATTTTTAAACTATCTCTAACACTAAACATAGCACATTACCATCAGGCGGACGTGTTTACATACATACATATATACATACATACATACATACATACATACATACATACATACATACATACATACATACATACATACATGCATAACATAAAGACTATGCAAAATTGTGAAAATATATAGCCAATTTTCAGTTTCTATTTACTGTGCTTGATCACATTTAAACCAACAAACACCATGCCAGGCAATATTATTCTTGAAACGACTAATTGAAATGAGTAGTATATCAGTATAAAAAAGCTATGCAATCAAAACAGCAATAAGAAAAGCGCTTCCAAAAGCATATTTCAAAAACCTATTGCACGAATGAGCATAAACAAGCTGAAAACGTGAATAGTACGTATAAATTACATGCAGTAGGATAAGAAAGAGGAAAAAAAGAACAAGATGTAGAAAATCAATGTTAAACGTATATCATATCTCAGGCAAACTAATTCCCAATAGGACCATCAGACAACATCGACGCTGTAGTTGTGGTTGCCACAATCGCTGCTGCTATCTTCGTCATGCCTGCATGTAGTTGCCACTACAACCACTATCTTCATCATTTCCGTAGCCATCTCATCCTCATGAAGTCAGTCACTTCATCACCGTTATAACTAAGCCGTCGTTATCATCATCCTCACATGTCTCAATAGTTATTTAGCTAGTACTATTACTTTCACACTCAAAACATCAGCATGCCATGAAACAGAATTCCTATGCGTTTAAATTTAAAGTCTGAAATATCACTTTTTTAATGAAGAATAATCAAAGTTGCTATTATTATTACGATTATTATTATTACGATTATTATTATTATTATTATTGTTTCACCCCCACAAAAACAATAACAATGAAAACTACAAAAAAAAATTTATATTCAGAAGAAAGAATGCTGTTGAAGGACTACTGATAAAGCTTCAGTGCAATTAATCAGCAATTAATTAAGAAAACGCCATATACATTTTTAAAATTAATGTTACGTAATGTAATGTAATGTAAAATGAGATATTATGTAATGTTACATCACATGATGCGATATTATGTACTGTACTGTAATGTAATGTAATGTAATGCATGATGTGTGCAAGTAGGTACAGAATGAAGTAAGTATGAAGCAATGAAGCCTTATATCAAAGAGAGACAACATTTTAAGTAAAAAATATCCTCTGAAAACAGAAGATTAGCTTTGACAGAAGTAAAAACAAGAAAGGAGTAAGAACGATCTAGCAAGACATAAACAATAATAACATCCAATAATGAAAAATGACATCATTAGCTTAGACAATGAATATCATATCATCAGCAAAACAAACATCAACAACATTATCAGCCTAGTCATCAAGAACAGCGTCAATTGGACCATCACAAACACAACAACAACAACAACAAAAACAACAAAAAAACAACGGCACACAACTGCCACATAAAAGCAATAATGATACACAGATGCATATGCACTTGAAACAATTTTCAGATGCGCTGTTCAATACAATATACTTTGGAAAGAAAACAACACTGCATCCATCCATACACAGTACATCTCCACTATCGTCGTCGTTGTCATCCTAATCAAAGTCTTCACCATCACCATCATCTTTAACATCATCAACAACGTCATCATCTTTCTCATCCTCATTTACTCGTCTCGCCAACATCATCATCACATCACTAGCTAGCTATCTTTATCCACAAATTTTCCATCCTTAATTTAATACACTGATAGCATGCAAACTAATTTTATGATTCATAAATACCTGATTCAAAGCAGTCTAGCAATTATATCTAGCATTGATGTTATTAAAAAACCATCCACTTATTCATTAATTCTTTCATTCATTCGTTAATTTTTTCATTCATTCATTCACTCAATATTTCGTTAATTCACTCACCCATCCAACCAATCATTAATTTTCATCCATCTGTCCATAAACTTCACACATCCATTCAGTCCATCTTCATAAAAAAAACAGTAACACATACACAAACACATACGGACACACACACACACACACACACACATACGGACAAACAAACACATACCTTACTTATATTGCTTTATAGTTTTATATCACTCCAGCCCCTACAAACATTAGCTACAGTTGCGAGTATTTAATAACGCTAATAATCGGTTACTATACTTAGAAAAAAATGATACAAAAATAGAACAAGAGGATAGTTCCAAAAGAAATTGTATTATTAATATCTATCGTTATAAGTAAGTATAACTGCTGTCAGTATTATTACTACTTATACTAACGACTACAATGATAATAACGAATAATGATGGGAAAAGTAGGAATGATGACAACCGCCATAGAATGATGCAATGACAGTCTTTTGGCGGTCGCATGATGATATAGCTAGCTACTCAATCAAGTGATAATTGAAAAATTAGACCAGCTATTTACTATACTTTACATGTGCATACGGTCAAATGAATACAAATCTCTAGTTACTGCACATAAACATTTTTCTTTCGTTCTCATAGGTACATATATACCATTCTATACCTTCCAGTAACAACAACTGCAACCAATGTAACAAGTAACCGTGAATAGTAGATAGAAGCATGAATAATTGTCACTATATTTAAAGAATGAAGAAAAAAAAACTAACTTTCACAAAAGTCACAACAGCCAAACAATAATATAACAAATACTGATAAAGATGATACTAAATGACAACGATGATACAGATGATACTAAATAAACAATTATGATATAGATGATACTAAATGACAACGATGATACAGATGATACTATTAACAAATGACAATGACTGTATAACCATTGAAAATATTTTTTCAAGGTCAAAAACAAAGCAAGTAATCAAACGAAATGAAGTCCAGAGAGGATGAAAAACAAAAAAAAAATAAACGAATGACTAAGAACAATCTTAATAGAAAAAAGACAATACAAACCAAAAAAAGACCACAGAAACTACAAACCAGCCAGCCAGCCAACCAGCTAGCCAGCTAGAGAACATAATATAACATTCACGAACAAAGAACTGAAAAACTTTTCCGTAAAAAATTTGAGGTTTAAGAAACCTTGTGTGAGGTTTAAGAGATATTAAAACCGCATGCTATGCCACTCAACTCAACTCCCATCCATTCTTTAAAGAAAAATTTCTTTCCACAATATTTTTTAAATCAATAAAAAGACAAATGAATTAATAAATATACACATCCTTCGTATGTTCATCTATTCACCAAAATCAATCAGATAAAAAATCCACTAAAAGAAATAATAAATAAACATATTGATTCAAGTTGATTGCTTCCTTCATTACAACTATAATATTATTAATATATAATCTAACTATGCTTTCCACAAGCAAATTATTTAGTTATCTGAAAAAATGATATTTTTGGGACAATTTTTTCACAACTTTTTTCACTGTTTGAGTCACAAAATAAATATTTTAGGTCAAACAAAGTCTAAAAAACGGCAAAAACTAAAAGAATGAAGGAATGTAGCCAAAGAGGAAGAAACAAAAAAGCTAGTTAGCTGAGCAGGAAGAGCCGTCCGTCCATCAGAAGAGCCTAATTACATGACGGCTGGTTAG